ATTTATTTATTTATTTATTTATTTATTTATTTATTTGGGGGAGAATACAATCAGGGGAGAGGCAGAGAGAGGGGCTAGAGAGGATCCTAAGCTGGTTTTGCGCCGACAGGAGTGGGCCTGATGTGGGGCTTGAACTCACGAACCGCGAGGTCGTGACCTGTGCTGAAGTCAGGTGTTCAACTAACTGAGCCACCCAGGTACCCCCCTCCACTTTTTTAAAGATATGATTGACATATAACGTTGTGTAAGTTTGAGGTGTACGATGTGTTGGTTTGGTACATTAATATATGGCAATGTGATGACTATAATAGCATTAGTCAATACCTCTATCACATCATATACTCACCATTGTTGTATGCATTATGAACAATTAAGATTTAGTCTTTTAGCAACTTCGAAGTTCTTTAATACAATATTATTGACTATAATCACTATGTTGTCCATTATATTTCCAACACTATTAAGTTTATATCCTTTTTTATGTTTGTTTATTTATTTATTTTGAGAGAGAGAGAGAGAGAGAGAAAACAGAGGAGGGACAGAGAGAGAGAGAGAGAGAGAGAGACAGAATTCCAAGCAGGTTCTGCATTGTCAGCACGGAGCCCCACGTGGGGCTCGAACCTAGGTTGAGATCATGACCTGAGCCGAAACCAAGAATTGGACACTTAACCGACTGAGACACCCAGGCGCCCTGTAAGTTTACACCCTTAAACAACATCTCCCCAATTCTTCTGCCCCTCAGGCCCCTGACCTTTCATCCTAGATATTGAAGCTTTGCAGCAAATTGCTCCTGACAGCAGAACTGATCACTTTGTATTGCAACAACCACAATAAGAACAACAAATAAAGATGAAAAAGAATGAATAAAACCGGTCAGGATCCCCCAGTTTAAGATGATCATTCCCTTATATCAATAGTTTTCTATACAGCTTTGTAAAATTTTATTTAGAAAAAAAATTTTTAGGGGCACCTGGCTGGCTCAGTCAGAAGGGCATGCGACTCTTGATCTTGGGTTTGTGAGTTCGAGACCCAAGTTGGGTATAGCAATTACTTTAAAAAAAGCTTAAAAAAAAAAGTCTTTTAAAGAAAAAGAGAACATTCTACATATACCTCGGAACACAGATTACAGTAGTTTTTTGGCCAGTTTGGTGTGGTTTTTCAACTCTTCTTTTTTTCAGTCTTCGAAACACCTGTCCCTGCCAGCCTCCAGGTGCCCCCAGTTACGGGTCTGCTCGCACTAAAGGGGAGGAGCTACTTCCCAGAATCTGCTCCTAACGTTGCTGCCCAACAGCCCAGCCACCGGCAGTGCTGCCCTCCTGGGGACCAAAGAGGACCCTGATCACTCTGCTGTGTGCCATGTGAGTCTTATATTCACCAGGATGGCTGGCGGACCCAAGAAATGTTTGTCTTTCATTGGATTCAGCCTTATCTGTCTTAAAATGGTGAGTTCACCATTCCAACCCACCTGCAACTATTTAGGGGGGAACAAAGACATTTATTATCACTCTCTCTCTCTGTCTCTGTCTCTCTCTTTTTGAGAGATTAGTGGGTGGGGAGATAGAAAACAAAATAGTTTTGGACCATACCAAGATTGTATATGCTTGCATGTTTGAAATTTAATGCAATTTACTAGAGAAAGAAAACAAGATTATCATTATATTTTAAGAACAAAGATTTCTGAAAAATCTGTCAACAGCTACTGACTTAGTTCAATAGGCAGATTCAGGGAGAAAAATGAAATAGTAATGTGATCTGTTTCCAGCCTCTAAATTCTATTTAGGATTCCTTTGGGGGTAGATTTGAGTTTGGGAAATAATTTGTGCAAATAAATGCTCTGTATGGATTCAGATATTGCTCGCATTACGAATGAAAATGTTGTGATACACTTATTACTGCTCCGATTTATGTTTTACATTTCCGCAAATGGCATTTTTCTTCATGGTTCTAATTTTTGTAAACTTTTCTTTTCAGGTTGCTTCAGCAAATACAGGTAAAAGTTTTTAAAACACAAGTTTTCCTTCCCCATGTTTGATTTTAATTTCCACTGTTAATTCTTGGGCTACCCTGAAATAGAAAAGCTATCTCGGAAAAATATTCAACATCTCCTGAGTGTTCACACTGTGAGTGTAACTGGTAAGACAAATACATGGACCAAACTTACAAGTCCTCATAAGACCTTCCTATTGAGTACTGAGATGTATAAAAAGTAATGTAGTGATGGATTTCTCAAATTCAGTTGTCATTAGTAAAATATTATGGTGATTATCATTCTAGCCAAAGAAATAAAGTTTTAGCCACAAATAGTGAAAAGTCTAATTTATATAATTTTTCTTATTTGTATTCTGAAGAACTAGAGAAGAAAACTAGACATGTTTTTGAGTAAAAGCTTAGGATTCTCTACTTTTATAAGAAAGGATTTTACACTTGTAATAGTGCATCCTTAAAATACAGAAAATGAAAACTTAGGACTAGAAAAAGTCTTTCTTTTAAAAAAATTTTACCGTCATTTTTGCTGAATAAATGACTAAAGCCAAGGATAATTTCTTTAGAGGAAATTTATAGTCCATGAGATTTCGATTATTTAGAGGACCCATGTAATATTGATCATATCACCAATAAGGTCTCATAGCAATTCAACGTAAATGAGAACAATTTGTATTTATTATTTTGTCTGCCACAGAAAAGGAAGTGCAATTAAGGCCATTTAAAAATTGGGCGGATTTTTAAAAATTTTATTTTAGAAAGCGGGAGAGAGCGAGCATGAGCAGGAGATAGGGGGAGAGAGGGGGGAAGGGGGGACAGAGTGAGGAAGAGAGGTGGGAAGAGGGAGAGGGAGAGAGAATCTCAAGCAGGCTCAGGGTGGAGCCCCACACAGGGCTCAATTCCATGAACCTTAAGATCATGACCTGAGCCGAAATCAAGAGTTGGACGTATAAAAGACTGAGCCATTCAGGTGCCCCAAAGATTTTTATTTTAAAGTAATCTCTACACCCAATGTGGGGCTTGAACTCACAACCCTGAGATCAAGAGTCACATGCTCTATCAATTGAGCCAGACAGGTGCCTCAATTTTTAAAATAAAATAGGGGCACCTGGGTGGCTCAGTCAGTTAAGCATCTGGCTCTTGGTTTCCGCTCAGATCATGATTCCCATGGTTCACTAGTTTGAGTCCTGCCTCAGCTCTGTGCTGACAGTGCAGAGCCTGCTTAGGGGTCTCTCTGCAGAGAGAGAGAACCCTCTCCCTCCCTCTCTCTCTGCCCCTCCCACTCTCTCTCAAAATAAATAAATAAACAAAATAATAAAAATTTGACAGTGTTACAGGTGGCTGACCCATAAAATCCGTGCATGTGCATAAGTTTCCAAAAATTATCTCATGTTTTATTTGTATCCTTTACCTTATTCTTGAGAAACCTTCACGATCACCAGGAAGCAATGAAAAGGACTGGTTGGCCATATACAAAGTGACTTTTTTTTAGAAGTGGCCTTTGGGTGAACAAAGAACTAGAACAAAATCTACTTCTGTGTCCTTAGAAGGTCGCAGGAGACACTGAGCCCTCAGGGCAGGGCCCTTTTTAGTCCCACACTATCCACAGTATTTGAGAGAAAGAATGGGGCAGGCTGAGATACCAATGATGCTATTAATTGATTCATCCTGGTTTTTCAATAAATGGCATGTGCTTTATTGATACTATGTAGGAGGTTCCATTTTGGGTGTGTGTATTATGATTCTCTTTGGGTTCTGGAATAGGCTTTTTATCTGTGTCTGGCCACTGGGGCTGCCTGAGCTAATTTAGATCTCTATGAGTTGGTGGAATGCACAGATACTGAGAAGCAAAGGGTCTCTTTCACTTTTGACTGATCAGAGTGGTTGATTGCAAATCTAGAGAATAAAGTTATCTCTTTCGTCAGAGCAGTAAGTGGGCCAAACACAGAACTGAGAAAGAGGGGAGAACTCCTGCTAATTTATGGAGCCTTACACATCCCAGTCAGGCTTCTCATTTCTTTAAGGGAAGCGTAGTACAGAGGTGTTGATCTTTCACTGCTGTTACTGGTCAGATCCCACCCAGTGAAGCAGGTAATCTGTCTCTCCTGTGCTTACCCAGACTCCCCAGGATTTCACCTTCTAACACTTGTCCATGGCAGTGCCATGTGGTCTGGCTCTTCTAAACCTAAAAATTGCTCATCCTAGTACACACACACACACACACACACACACACACTAGCCCTTTCCACCTATCAAAGCCCCCTTGCATGCAAAATTTAACTTAATCCTCACAACAATCCTGAGATGTAGATATTTTACATTTCAAAGTAAATCTTAAGATGTAGAAATTATTGGAAAAGGAGTTGAGAGATACAATCAAGTTAGTTAGAGGAAAGAAGACCTATAACACAGGACAAATAGCTGATAGCAGAAAGGGGATGATTGGGGGGTGGGGGAGGGGTGAAGAGGGGGGCCCTTGATGGGGCTGTCTATCCTGCCGTGGGGGAGAGCGGACATGGGTGCTTCCTGCAGTCACCTTCTGCTGGCCAATGGCTAAGATGAGCAGGTCTACGACTTTTCCCCAGCATATGTAACTTTCAGAGTTTTCTTTCGGTGGCAAAAGAGACAGTCCTGGGTGACGTTCAAGGAATGTCTGGCCAGTGCACAGTGGAGACTTTGTTCAGTCTTGCAGATTGGCTATTTCTGAGTTGCTGCCAAAGCCAACCCTCTGGGCTATTGGTGCAGAAAGAGAAGTTGTCTATGCACATAGGGATTTGGTAGGTGGGGGTCTGCCGAGGAGAGGGAGTCGATACCAGTAAATCACACATTTGGTCTATAGTTACTCTTTCTCCTCTTTGCCCTATAGTTTCGTTTTGCCCTTTAGTTTTGAAGTTGGTCTATAGTGATTTTACCCGGCAAGTGAGGTACATTGAACATAAAAGGCTAAGTGCCAGTTCCAAACTTAAAACCAGCTATTTCTGTTTGACCTTTTCTTCCACTTGGACCTCCTGCACCCAGGGCATTTTTGTGCCTGTGGAGTTTTACAATGTTGTAAGTCTTGTTACCATGCTGTATCTCTTACCCCTTACCCAAAGTGCAGGAATGCCTTATATAAACTCATGACATAAGCATTGATGTCCCACAGACAAACCATGGCCTGGCCCAGGTGAGGAGAGACCACGGCACCTCCTTCTTATGCTGGGGCAGATGTTTTGATGGAGAGTGGGACAATAATGTTTATTTTTGTTTTATATAGAAGAATCTAAAAATGGTTCCACTCTGATAACATGAAAGAAAGTATGATAGAGCAATCGTAAAACAAAGAACTCAATGTTCCCTCTTCCTCCATTAGATTAGATACCTTGTGGGAAATGTGCAAGTGCACGAGATGGAGACATAGCCACAGCAGAGGTGAGACCCTGGCCTTCAGGTGGAGGCAGTGGAGCATAGGTGAGGGGCTGGGAGGGGAGATTGGCGGCAGCAGAGAAGGCCTGGGAATTCACAGAGTGCCAAACCAGTGTGGAAGCCTCTGGAATGAAGCCCCTCAATGACTCTCTCCTTCCTCTCAGAGTTCTTTCCCACAATCATTCCCTGTTGTTTTTTTTTTTTTTTTTT